ATATATAATATACATGAATGAGAGCTTGTGTGTTAGTGTTGGTATGATGCTGCGTATCACAGAAGCTTGTAAAGCACACTCTTAATTCGTTTCAAAGGAAGATCACCAAAAATGTTTTAGGAATGTAACATTGCCAAGAGTTCAATTGTTGCCTTGTACATAACATCACATTGATTATGATTGATAGCACACTTGCCTAATTGTATATATATTTATTTTTTTTATTTGCTATGGGAAGATATTTTTAAAATTTTTGAACTAAGTCAACCTTATGACTTGAGCAAAAGTGAAAATGTCTCAATAGTTGGATTTTTAGTACACAAAACAGAACCCTGCTGTACGAAATGTACCTATCATGTATTGGGCATTGTCACCATACCAGTATCTAGACACCTGGAGAAAAAAATGACCTAGTTGACCCAATCCGTACATCATGTTTTACTATCGTATCCATACGACATGGGGAACTCTGTACCCCCACTTTCCCAAGAGGAACTTTACTCATTAATCCAATCCGTACGCTTTGCATAGCAGTCTGTCAAAATGATCTTTTGAGAAATACGGAAAGTTTCAAAGAGATCTTCGCACTAGAAGTATTCTAAAATGTGAAGAATACAACCTCGGGGGCGTACAAAATGACCCCAGGTGTACAGATAGGGTTAATTGTGTTGTGGCTTTGGTTATGTAGTGTGTGTTCCTATTTGTCTCAGGATGCCCTGAACCAGTTAAATGTGCCAGTGAGCGGCCGGCCGCAGCAAACTGCGTGAGTATAGTGTCTTCTTGTTGAGGTTCTCCTTCATTTTTGTGTATGTTACTCTCTTGTAACACCTCTAATCTTCTACACTTATATGACCTTATTGTGTTTACAAGTGCCGTAAAACACTTACTAAAACTAAAAGAGCTAAAAAAAAAAAAAAAGAAGCTCTCTCTGCTTGGATGTTAATCTAGTGGCAGGCAGTTGTACTCACAGAAGTGTTACTTACTGATGTGTTACTTACAGATGTGTTACTTACAGAACTGTTATTTACAGAAGTGTTACTTACAGAACTGTTACTTACAGAAGTATTATTTACAGAACTGTTACTTGCAGAAGTATTATTTACAGAACTGTTACTTACAGACCTGTTACTTACAGAAGTGTTACTTACAGAACTGTTACTTACAGAAGTATTATTTACAGAACTGTTACTGTTACTTACTGATGTGTTACTTACAGATGTGTTACTTACAGAACTGTTATTTACAGAAGTGTTACTTACAGAACTGTTATTTACAGAAGTGTTACTTACAAATGTGTTACTTACAGAACTGTTACTTACAGAACTGTTACTTACAGAAGTGTTACTTACAAAAGTGTTACTGACAGAACTGTTATTTACGGAAGTGTTACTTACAGAAGTTTTACAGAAGTGTTACTTACAGAACTGTTACTTACAGAACTGTTACTTGCAGAAGTATTATTTACAGAACTGTTACTTACAGAAGTATTATTTACAGAACTGTTACTTACAGAACTGTTACTTACAGACCTGTTACTTACAGAAGTGTTACTTGCAGAAGTGTTTCTTGCAGAAGTATTACTTACAGAACTGTTACTTACAGAACTGTTACTTACAGAAGTATTACAGAAGTGTTACTTACAGAAGTATTACAGAAGTGTTACTTACAGCAGTGGTACTCACAGAAGTGTTACTTACAGAAGTGTTATTTACAGAAGTGTTACTCACAGAAGTGTTACTTACAGAAGTGTTACTTGCAAAAGTGTTACAGAAGTGATACTTACAAAACTGTTACTGATAGAAAAATGGATAAGCATTGAATGTGTATTAAAATTATCATAGTTACATACAGTTACATATTGTCCATGACAGTAGATGTGCACTATATTATAAATTGTAAATGCAATTATTATTATCATTGTTGCTATTCTTATTATATCTTTCTTTTTCTTCTTCTTTCTTTTATGATTGTTATTATCATCATTACTATCATTACTAGTATTACTGTTGTTATTATTATTATTATTATTATCATCATCATCATTATTATCATTACTATTATTATAATCATTCTTCTTCTTATTATTATTATTATTTTTATTATCATCGTTGTTACTTTTATTATTGCGATTTTGATTGTTGTGTTATGATTATTATCATTATCGTTATTGTGTGTCAGGAACAACATGGGAGCCAGCGAGATGATGTACAGCCGCCACGGGCCCTCCCCTCCCAACATGTATAACAACAACAGCAGCAACAACAGCGCCGGAGCCGCCCTCCAGAACTTGCGGCAAGGCCCAAGGTCAGCCTCCCCTCACAACGGCAGCGTGTACAAGAACCGGAACGGACTTTCTCCCACTCCCAACGTGGGCATGTACAAAAACCTGAACGGCCTGTCTTCCCCTCACATGTACTACAACACAGGCATGAACCCCAACAAGTTCTACGGCCAGCCCGACGGTCTTCCACCGAAACACCCTTCTCAACGCCCGAACCAGTTCCCGGAAAATCCCTCCGCGCCTCAGAGGGGGCCCTCCAGCACCCCGAACTTCGGGAATCGATCGATGGGGGTCGATGGCGGCGGCAGCGGTGGCGGTGGTGGTGGTATGAACAATATAGCACAACCAGCGAGCAGGAGGACGCCACCTGTCATGTTAGATCCTCGCTATCCGCAGTCGCCGGGTACGGCGCAGCATTTTCCGGATATTTCCCACCAGACGCAGACACCAGCGAGTGGTGGCGGTGTCGCTCACAGACCTCCCAGCGGGGACAGGGGGCGCCTAAACAATCAGGGTGAGTCAGTGGTTGGTAGATCAGTGCTTGCCTCATTGTTAATATCATCGTCATCATCATCATAATCATCATCATCATCATCACCATCACCATCATCATCTCATCATCATCATTATTATCATCATCACCATCATTATCATCACCATCATCATCATCATCACCATCTCATCATCATCGTCATCATCATCATCATCATCATCACCATCACTGTCATTATCATCACCATCATCATCGTCATCATCTCATCATCATCATCATTACCATCGTCATCATCATTACCATCATCAGCATCATTATCATCATCACCGTCACCATCATCATCATCATCCTCCTCATCACGGACTAAGCAATTCCCCTTTTCTTGATGTGTTTTTCTTGGGGGTTTTTCTCTTGAAACATAACAATTTGCACCGTGTCAACTCATTTTTAAATAATCTACAAATATCGGCGCCAAAATCATGACACTGGACCAAAAAAAAAATTATAAAAAATCAGTGCTTGCCGACCAGGACATGGTGGGTGATTTGGTCATTTTGGTGGGTGGTGGAGATCACAAGTATAGTGCTGTCCCTGTGGTTTTATGCAAAAAAAAGAATACTGAAATTATGCAAACTGAGGCCAAAAATGTGAAATTATGCGATTCTGTTAATTTTAACAAAGAATGATATAGGAAAATTATCAGAAATTATGCAAAAAAAAGATCAAATTTTGCTAAATTATGCGGGGTGCATAAAACTACGGGGACAGGTAGTGACAGATGTTATCTAACGCCTCACCTGGAAATACGCTCGTATATGCAGATGGGTGATACGAAAAGTTTAGCGTCTTAAAAGTAGCAAAAGTGGGTTCGGCTCGGCTGTAAAAAGGTTGACACGCATAGGGTCAGAAGGTGCTGCTTGAACTTCCATCTTTGTTCCTGTACATCTGTTCGTTCATTCATGCATCTCTAATACACCTCAAAATGGCTACTTCTGCTATTTCAGTCGTGTGTTACGTCTTCAAATAAACTTCCAAAAGATGTACATGTAATGTTAACAAGAAGAATTATGTTGGACGTCATTTATGTTTGTTGGGGTTTTGGGGGGGGGGGGGGGGAGTTTTTGTGTGAGTAGCTTAAGGAAAGACAGAAAAGAAAAGAGAGAGTGGGGGAACTTTAAAAAAACAAAAAAAACAAAGAAAAAGAAAGATGAGGGAGGAAAACGGGAGAAGGAAGCAGAAAAGAAAGAAGAAGGAAGAGAAGAAGAAGAGGAGAAAGAAGAAATTGAAGATATATACAGAATAGGTGAAGACAGAAAAAAAAAAGTTAAAGAAGAAGAAGAAGAAAGAATGATGTTTTATCTGAAGTTACTACAGATTTCCTTTGCCTTCCCAGCTGTGGCAAACCCTCCCATCCTCCATAGGGACGGGCCCCCCAGGAACTACCAGAACATGCTCAACATGCACCAGACCTTTCAGGACAGGGGAGGTCATCTCAAAGTGCCGCAAGGGTAAGAGTAAGGCATGAAATTAGATCTGACTACTTTTAGTTTCCCCAGCGGGAAGTGGTCGTTAGTAGAGGTGATTGTCTTGGACTGGTCGCTGATAGAGCAGATTTGACTGTCTGTTAACTTACTCAATCCCTGTGCCGAGATGTCTCGGTCAGCTCACCTGCTGCGTTCAATCCCACGATCAAGATAATTCAGTTCTATAGTTTTGTTCCATATATTAGTTATTTCGTTTTGGGAAAACAGCCTCAAGGTTTGTATAAGGTCACTTTACCATTTCCCCAGCCAATTCAGCCTAGAGGGGTACTCGAATTTTGTTTCTACTGTCGTTACGCACGGAGAAATCGCGCTTTTTATGAAGGCAGTTTCAGCTCCTTTGTTCACACTGATCAGCCGAGCATGTCTCGCAATCTATTCTCTCTGCCTTTCTCACACATGCCTTTTCTTTATTCATGACAGTATTCAACAGTCTTTATTATACATGACATACAATACTTTCACAAGCATATTATTTGAATATCAATGTAGGCTTACTCTTGCTCATTTGGCCATGAAAAAAATAATAAGCCCCCAAAAATGCCAAATTCATACAATGCCCCAAAGCAAAATTACTCAAGCTACATACTTCAAAATTGGTATGTCTAAAGATCCATCTTAAATTGTACTTTGTGCCAAATTTCAAAGCAGTTGAATGATATTTATGGTTACTAGTGGGCCCTTACCTAAGTGCCAAAATGACCGGTTTCTGGGTACAATTTCGGGAAAATCTCCCGGGATTGAGTGAGTTAACTCCTTATCTCCTGAAGCCGCTCCCGTGGCCTGAATTTTGATATGATATATTCGTTTTTGACAATTGCCAAAAACAGGTCTCTTTTACTGGGAGTTCTTTCTTTAGATGAAGAACTATCAAACTACGTTCACTTGTTTTGATTTAATGACCTAGATAGTGACGTAATGTCACTTTTTTCATTTCCTACAAAAGGAGGGCCCTGGCATAGTGGTTTACGTCCTCCGGAGATAAAGAGTTAATTGTCTGTGTATCCTTGTGGGTAGTTGATTGGTGCTTTGGTGTATTTTTCTCCTTCTTTCCTACTTTACTTTACTTTACTTTTCCGATCCAGCAGCCATTTGGGTTCTTTCTTTCCTACCAAACGTCTATCGTTCTTATCTCTCCTCCTCCTCCTTTTCTTTGTATGTTACAAGTTACTCTCTCTAGTAACACCTTTAATCTTTGGCACTTATATGACCTAATTGTGTTGCAAATGCCACAAAACTCTTTCTAAAACTGTGACTTTTTAATGTTGTGATACTCTGTAGTGACACATCTAAGTTTCAACATTTATATGACGGAATTGTACTGTAAGTGCTGTAAAACTTACCAAGACTAATATTGAACACCTGTATGACCCAATATTATGCTGCAAGTGCCGTAAAACTCTTACTTCCTCTGTTGACATCCAGCCCTGGCACTCATATGACCTTATGCAGTTGCAAGCGCAGTAAAACTTTTCTAAATCTTACTATAAAATTTTTACTTTAACTAAACATATATATATATCCACAGCCCGCCGGCTGTAGCTGTACCGGGGGTCTCGATGCAGCCATCAGGGCCGCCATTGTTCGGCAGTCAGTCGTCCCGGGACAACACGTGGACGGTGTCGGGTGTGCTGCGGGCGCAGCGGATGAACGGAGGACTGTCCTCCCAGCACTACAACTCCAGCCGGCTCTGGTGACACCCGCGGAGCGCCTGTTTCCTGTTAGGCGCGCCGGCGAAATGAGTCACGTACTTCTCCGATTTTTTGCCCTTTAGGAATGTTGTTGTTGTTGTTTTCAAATCCCTTTAGCTGCGAGCATTTCGCTCTTGGCAGCGCAGTGCCTCCCCCCAGAAACCACATGTCTTTGTCATCTGGTCAATGCCAGAGTAGAGCCCTTTAGGAATAGATACATCACATTTGTAGGTGGAATTTGTACAATTTAGATGTATGAAATAATGTAAGACTTATTTTAGTTTTACCTTACTGTTCCGATCCAGCGGCCATTTGAGTTCTAGCCCTGCGGCCTGATAATATGGTTGTTTTTTAGGACAAACAGGCTAACTCAGATTTTGGGGGTTTTCAGAAATCTTGACCTACACCAAAAGTGAGCATTACCCTACCAATAGGAGAAGTTTGGTTTCATTGGTGTGTATATTTGTTTGGTTATAAAGAAAACTGTCCTTGTCTTTTAAAGAAACTGAACAAGGGTTCAAAAAATTTTACCTTCAATTTTCTCCAAACGGCGTTTTTCGGGATGGCCCCCTTGTACTTAAAAGCGACCATACAAGACCTGTTTAACTTGAAGAAAATGGAGTTAATTGAAAATCTGCAGCGTTGATTTTTTGGCCGATATCTCCATTTGTGGATTGTGGGAAGTAACTCATTTCGTCAGCACGCCTCACCTGTCGCAATGTGGAAATTTCCAGCCTTGAGCAGACTTTCTAGGATCTTACAATTTTATTCTGGAACCAGCAAACCTTTTCTACATTTGTTAAGAATGTTAAGAATGTTCGGGGGGGGGGGGAGATTGTGATGGCTTGGAAACTTTTTTTATACTTTAATTAAAGTTTGAGAGAAGAGTTTGCCCTTTTTAGTTAAATGTCTATCACAAAATTGTATTGGAAATAGAAATTTATACAAGTTGATTCATTTGGAATCAGCAGTTGCCTTATTTATTTATTTTTGAAAAAACCAAATTGTCAACACAGTTGAAAAAGACCTCCCCTACATTTTAGAAGGGGAGATCATTTATTGTTTATCTTTTGGCAAGTACAAGACAAATAAAATATGATGAAATCATCTGTTTCTCAACTGAGAACTACAAGAATCAAATACATAGAAATGTATTGAGTTTGATCTGTGATACACTGTTTCGGTTGCTTCAAAATAACTTTCATAAATGATTGTGCCTAATAATTGTGAATGGCTGAATTTTGAGATGCACAGTGTGATAACTTTTGCCTATTATGTTTGTGTCTTTATTACATTGTATAATGTGTATGTTTGGGAAAATGGATGGATGAATATGAACCACGAAAGAGAGAGACAGAGAGAGAGAGAGAGAGAGAGAGAGAGACAGAGAGAGAGACAGAGAGAGAGAGAGTGAGAGTGGTAGAGAAGACAAGAGAGTGATAAAAAAAGTAAGTATGTATTTATTTGAATAGTATATATGTGAATAGTAGTGCTGAATGTGTCAAATACAAAGAAAGATGATAAAAAGATACACAAGAGAAACAGAAATGTTTTTTATGCTTTGTTATATATATGCATGTATAGCTGTAATATGATTCACAATTACTAAGGCCTGGCTGTTAGTTTTGCATGTGTATAATTTGAGATACATGTGTGCCATGTAGCTATGAAATAACACAATGTTAATGTGCCTCTTTATTTACTTGAACCTAATGTCAAGCTTGACTCTTAAATTTGTTTTCTTTTATTCATTTTTGATAAGAATGTCAAATAGTATTTTCTTTCACTTTTTTTTGCACCCACAAATTTAGACTTCTTTCTTGAGAATAATTACCTTTAAAAAAAAACAATCTCATAATGAAACTTTAGCTCTTTCAATACTTTCATTGTCTCCCGACGTTATTTGTGGCATCATTGTAAAAACAGGCTCTCGTCAATTAATGAAATCAAAGAAAACATTTTTCCTGCAATTTTTATAGATTTGAGATGGGAGGGGGCTCAACATCTTTTATATCTATTTCAAAACACATAATGTGTGGATTGTACTGAAAAATATTGATCAAAGGCAATTGAAAATGTAAATTTGTAGTTTCCAAGGACTTTAAAATCGTGGAAGTCATGAAACTTTGACGGCCATTTTCATTAAAAGAAAGACAAATGAACAGGCCTTAAGATTATACTAGTAACTCCATGTACCCAAAATTTGATGAGCGCCTGATTCCTCCTTGTCGTGACTCATGCCTGATCTTATTTGCCCTTTTTTAAAATAAAGCAAATAATCGTCATAATCATTAAGTGCAATGTTGCTTGTGTAGTGATCTCGGTGATAAGAAATGTGCTTACATTTGGCCTTGTCTTTTGAGAAGCAAATTTTGATGAACTTTTTTCGGGGTTTTTTTGGTTGTATTTTTGGGGGTTTGCCTTTGAGTTACCGTTGAAAAAACATTTAGTATTTCTCTAAAGTATTAAATAAGACTTTTTGCTTTGTTTACCATACAGGCAGTTTTTCATTAACAAATATTATTTAAACCCTCATTGTGACAAAATAATTTTGCGATCAGATATTCTAGTTTCAGTAGAGGTTTTACGGTGCTCGCAACTGCATAAGGTCATATGAGCGCCAGAAGATTAGAGGTGTTACAAGAGAGTAACAAACATTAAAAAGAAGAAGGGGAGATCAATAAGGACGATAGATGTTTGATAGGAAAGAAGAAGCAATAAACCACACCAGAGCACCCGCCAACCATCAGATGTTCACAGGTTTTAGAAGTTTTCAACCTTGTCATAGCAAACAGTAGTAGGCCTAGGTCGTAGTATCACATCATTTTGTCACTGTTGGCCTTTAACCCTTTCATTGCCGAGATGTTTCCTTTACATTTGTACAGAATATATAACGTGTTTTTTCGTTCAAAAATTTAACCAAAGTCATACTGACTTTTTCCTAAAATGAGACCTCACGACTGCAAACCATTTTGAATAACAGCAAAAACTGGCTCTACAGACCAGAAGAAAAATGGTAGTGAACCTATTTTGGAAACCACAATTGAGTACATGTATACTATACGTCAACGCAGCAGTGAAGAGGTTAAGAAAAGACGACATTTGACCTGCATTGAGTCACATCTAATTGCCTCTACTCCTCAAGACAACAATTAGAACAGACATGCAGCTATTACCGAATGGCATCATGCAGAAGAGTTAACGTTCAGATGCTACTGGATCGCTAACAACAACAACAACCTGCATTGAGCTAGCCACAGAGCGGCCATCCGTCCTGTGATATGTAACTGTCATCAGTCCTGTGATATGTAACTGTCATCAGTCCTGTGTGTCATCAGTCCTGTGATATGTAACTGTCATCAGTCCTGTGTGTCATCAGTCCTGTGTGTCATCAGTCCTGTGTGTCATCAGTCCTGTGATATGTAACTGTCATCAGTCCTGTGTGTCATCAGTCCTGTGTGTCATCAGTCCTGTGTGTCATCAGTCCTGTGATATGTAACTGTCATGTTACCTCAGAACATCAGGAAGTGTGCTGAAGAAGAATTAGACATTAATTAAACATGTGTAATATTATACTGATGGTGCGTTTTTGTTGTTCTTTTTTTTACCTTATGTTTAAGCAGCTTTTTAAACCACTTACTTCCCCCGGGGCGGCGCCACTGACTGTAGTATCTTTAGGCCGTTCTCAAAGGGGGGACATTTCTTGTTCAATCACAGTAGAATTGTAAATGGGCTGATTCATCAATGTCACATTCATAACTGTGCCTGATCTACAACAGGGAACTGCTGTTTTTTCTTTCCTAATTCTTACTATTGTCATTTTCCTCTTCTTCTTTTGTATGTTTGTCACTCTCGTGTGAACTGCTATTTCCAGGGTGCATTGATAGTCGAAGCAGACTTTGTGCTGTTGAAGCTAGAGAGGCGAGCAGAGTAAGTCTGATTGCCTGTAAGGACTTCTCTGTTGACATCCACCCCTTGGCGTGCATATGACCATATGCAATTGCGAGCGCCGTAAAACCTCTACTAATTTTTTTAAAAGTGATATATAACAGTCATCAGTCCTGTGTGTCATCAGTCGTGTGATATGAACTGTCATGTTACATCTGAACATCAGTAAGTGTGCTGAAGAAGACTTATACATTAATTAAACGTGTGTGATATTATCTTGATGGTGGTTTTTTAGTGTTTTATTTACCTCACATGTATATTTAAGCAGCTTTTCAAACCACCTACATTGTGAAGTATCTACCTCCTTCTTCGTTTTTCTGAGAAGTTCCATTTTCTCAAGTACTCATGAATTTCCAAATATAGGCTTTCTCTAAATATTTATTAAATCCCTCAAATCACGTGGTTGATTTTTTCTTACTTTACTTTTCTTCCGGCGTCTGTTACGTTACAGTGCAGGGGGGCAACAACAAAATCTTTCTCTTGTTTGTTGTGTTGCTTGTTACATGGTTATATTTTATATTGTCTTTGTCTTGTGTTTCTCTGACTGAACCCCTCTGTCCATCTGTTCCTGGGCCTGCCTCTTCCTCTGTATTCCTCTGAAGACTACATGGGAAAAAACGACTGTAGTCGCAAATTGAAAATTGTGAGGGTACCAATTTTTATCGCTTGCTGACGCATAACTGTATTTCTGTTGAACTGTTGGTTGATTATCGTTGTTAGATTTCCCTTTTAACAATACTTAACAATAAACCACCGGTCAAACAAATATGAGCGGATAGTTGGCGGGTGCTCTGGTGTGGTTTGCTCCTTCTTTCCTATCAAACATCTATCGTCCTTATCTCTCCTCCTTCTTTTTTGTATATGTTACTCTCTTGTAATACCTCTATTTTTCGGCACTTATATGACCTTATTGTGTTGCAAGCTCAGTAAAACTCTTACTAAAACTAAAAAACAAATATGAAGTTGTGGGTTCACAAGCTTTTAAAATTGACACCCTCACAATTTCCAGTTTGTGACTACAGTCGTTTTTCCCGGTGCTTTTCATCTGATCTCTGGTTGTATGCTCTAACTGCTATACTGTCTGACGTGGTAGTCTAGACAGATGTCCAAACCATTTGTGAGGCAGCGTGGTGGCATCA